TAAAAAAAACTGCATAACATTATCGTACTAATAGCATAATGGTAGTGCGAGATCCGTCTACGCCAAATATTTCGTAGCACACTCGTAGCACCGGCGCGATGCTACGAGTGTGCTACGAGTCTACAGGCCCTAGCTAAGAAATAAAGCGCCGCTCCCGTTTATCCACGAAAACTAAACTTTTTAATAGTTTCTCTTTTATTTTTAGTAGCTTACACACAAAAAGTGTGTAAGTCCTTAAAATTCGTATTTCTTTTGTTTTTTATTTTGTTACAAATATACTTACCTAAATGTAAAATACACGTTGATGTAATTAAATTAACAACGTATATTTCACATCACCTCGCAAGTGATGTGGGATCTTAGCAAAAGCAAAACCATTTTTAATCAACCTTAGTTTTCCTCGAGGGCCCATTGATTCGCTGCGTTTCCGTCGCTAACGTCCTCGTAACTCGCTAATAGCAATTTATGCAGACGCTAACGTTTAATCTATAGTAAGTAATTTTCTCCTAGTTCTAGTTCCTCTACTCATTGATTAAAAAGCGGTTAAGTAGACTTTAAGGGCGTTGCTGAGAAGCTTCGCAATTTAGATTTAATTACGCATGAATCTTTGGGATGTTTGTATTATAAATTGTAATTTGTTTAATAGAGATAGGTCCACTAAGTTATTTAAAATAGCCTAAATAAAAAAAGTTGTTCAATAAAATTTAATCACGAAGAAAAGGGGAAGAGGAATACCTTAAACTACCTGGATGACGAATGTCCAAAAGGTGATAAAAGTATTGGGACTCCACGAGCAAGATGTTCGAGATAGAATTAAATAGCATGTTTGAAATATCGCGATCCCGCGTAATGGGATAAGGGGAGGCAGTAGAAGAAGAAGTTAAATACAATTTAGCGTAAAACACTGGTTTACAGTAGAACGACAGTAGAGTATTTGCAAGATCGCAGTCGGAAAATTGAATGACTTTTGTTGGAACAAAAATACAAAGAGCCCTAAATTCATTTCCTATAGGCCTAGGATGCGCGCCGCGATAAGCGTTTATCACAGCTTTTTATCGATTTTACGTGATAAGTCTAAAATCGTCGATAAGATTTTATCACGGCGCACATCCTATCCCATCCCGGCTGGTGCACGTCAGGTGTTATAGTTTTGCCGTCTCCTGCACCTAATGCATCATAGAGCAGAGTTGTTTAACTCCGGGAGATTGCCGGCTGCTTACGCTGAATGAGTCGCAGACGTGGAGTTAAATTCGCTAGTCAGTTAAACAGCTAGCTTGCGATTAGAAACGTCCGCACTGCATATGTAACCGTCGGCAAAGGTTTTAATATCAGGTGGTGAATCTAAGATAAATTCTAGTCTTAGACGGAAAATTTAAATCATCGGATCATTTGCTTTTTACTACTCAGACGACCCTCAAATAGCATATAATCGAAATGCACGCTCCAGCGATACCTAAAAACGTGAAAACACTTAATTTTTCATGAATTCATAAAAGCATATTAGTTGAGCATAAGTGCTTATCTACTTCACGCCAACCATTTACGGGTCTAGCCGTTTAACTGTCTATCTAATTCTACTGTTCCCCCGCGACAAATAAATGGATGAAACTTACCAAGTTGAATAATGCATTCTCATACTAACGGACCGCTAAATGAAAACAAATTATATTAGTAATGAGCCTTGAATTAATAGTTTTGTTCAAAAATACTTATGTTCATATACTTAACTAGCTTTCCGCCCGCGGCTTCGCCCGCGTGGAATTTTGTCTGTCACAGAAAAACATTATCGCGCGCGTCCCTGTTTCAAAAACCGGGATAAAAACTATCCTATGTTCTTTCCCGGGACTCAAACTATCTCTATGCCAAATTTCATCAAAATCGGTTGCGAGGTTTAAGCGGGAAAGCGTAACAGACAGACAGACAGACAGACAGACAGACAGACAGACAGACAGACAGACAGACAGAGTTACTTTCGCATTTATAATATTAGTTGGGATGACACGGGCAAAATACTTTAGTTCCCTTTATAGAAATCAATTATTATTATGTTTTAAATCATCATCATCATCATCATTTCAGCCATAGGATGTCCACTGCTGAACATAGGTCTCCCCCAATGCTTTCCATGTTGATCGATTGGTAGCGGCCTGCGTCCAGCGCTTCCCTGCTACCTTTACGATGTTTATGTTTTAAAGTTATGTTTATATTCGTTATCTGCACGCACAAAGTATATTAGAAGGTATTTTTAGTTTGGAGCAGAGCTTACATCATTTAAAAAGAAACCCTTACCTATTTATTTACATGTTAATTAATTTTCCTACACTTATACGGACAAAATAACATTTTCTTTACAAAATTATTTCTTTATTATATGAACAGAATACGTACGTTAGTTTCGTGACGAAAGCTTCATTATGCCTTTATTAATCGTGACTATCACTATCGTATCTTAAAAATAGCCGAGCCACACCACCGTAGGTATAACACTAAATGATCAGCTAGTCATTTAACCAGCGCAATTATATTCCAATTTGTATGCAAAGCTCTACACGTGAATACCGCGCCGGGGAAGCTGATATTTCGCAAATTACTGAGCTAAATGCATCAAATAGCACTGCTACACGATCCGCTATTAATTCCGCGCTGCGCTCTGCTGGTCGATAAAAATGAAACAAAAGCGTGACAGCTTACAGCTGCATAATGAGACAAAATTGACTGTATCCTCTGAAACTTAATTAATAAGTTTTTAGGACTATGTGCAGAAACACATAGATATCCAAATAATATGCAAAATTAAATATTTTTTGGTAACGTTCGATATTTTTTGCCAACTTTATTTTTATTTGCAAGAAAGCTTGAAATGGCTTCATAATGCATAATAATTACAAGTCCAATTGTAAATTCAATTCGGTATCTCTGTATTTAAATTGACGACACTATAAGGCTATTGGAATGATTAACAAGTTTTTGCGTGTTCCTAGATAGTGGTTTTTCCTGAAATGAAAATTTTAATACATTTTCAATTAAACCGGATAGCAGAGTCAAAACAAGGAATGGTTTATAATGTATTAAATTTCCATCACTCAAACAAAGTCCGTGGAACGAACTAATTAAAATGAGATACATAATTGTTGCGGAGAGCCGCACGGGTGTTTGATCGGTTTTAACCGCCTCTGTGGTCTAGTGGTAAGACCACCTGCTTCAGACGCAGAGGTCCCGGGTTCGATTCCCAGTGGGGGCAGATTTTTCTGTTCGGTTTGGTTGGTGGTAGGGCTTGTTCTAAGTCCGCCTGGCTAGCTACCACCATCTTACCTAAGTCTGTCGCCATAACAACAATGTTAACAGCATTGTTGTGTTCCGGCAGTTAGAGGTAAGATAGCCAGTTCCTCCGTGGTTGAGGATTCCGGGTGAAGCTCGCTTCCACCTTCGGCCTGATCATCACTTACCATCAGGTGAGATACAGGCCAAGAGCTTCCTCGTTGTGGATAAAAAAAAAAAAAAAAAAAAACAATGGATAAGTCAGGTCAAAAATTTACTAGGTTTTCTAAAAAGCAGGCATTTTCAGTAGCGTATAACCGCACTTGAGATAATTGCGAGTTACTATCCTAATTCCTCCGGTAATTCCCTTTGTTCCGCTTCAATGAAACATGTTTGGAATAACTCGGTCTACTGTTATTTATTTTATTGAGAAACTCAAATACGTAGTATTTGCAGATTCGTAGCAAGCTTAGTTAGGTACCCCTTAGTGCAAATTAAATTAAAACATTTCCTAGTAAGGTATTATTAGTTTACTTATAAATTTTAAAATCTTAATTTCGAATAGAGCATCGTCATAAACTTTGTTGAAATCCTAAATTAATAATGAAATTGTCTTTACATTTGATTACGATGAACAAACACCTCTAAAATGTTGATTGTAATTAGCAGAACCCACTTGCATTAAATATTGTAATGCATTATTATTCAAAACGAAATCTTCATTTACAATTTCAGATGGACGCGAGTAGACGCGCTTCGCGCTTAGAAATCAGCATTTCAATTGGATTTCTGGACAAACAGACCACAGCATAATTATGTTCAGTAGTATTGTGTGAAACCTAATATGAAAATCCAATTATTGTCTTCTTCGTTGTTGGATTTTCGGAGACAGGAGTAAACTTACATTAATACATTGATGGTCATGCAATAAATTAATAAGTATTGAATGCAACTAACTGCCACCTAAGTAAAGTCACCACAGGAAACTAGATGGCGTTGGCTGTCATTTGACTCGCAGTATTAGTACGAGAGCCCACGACCAAAACCATGTCTCATAGCAATACGGCAAAAACCCTATAAAATCGTTAGATTGTATGATTCTGAACCCGACTAGGTGTGTAGTAACGGTCGAAAGTGTAGCAACTGCGTTTCTGCTGTTTAAAAAAAAAAAAGACAGTCGGTATTATAGCAATACGTCTGATAGTGAAAATGTACATAGATTTTATAATTGTATTACGAAAAAGTTTGTTTTCAGACATTTTGCGCGTAGCATATAGCCTGAGCGAATTTTTGAAAATGTCAACAAATTTAGCCGACCTGTATACCTTTACGGGTTTGCGCTACACCACTAACGTCTGAAAAATATGTTTCCGGTATCTCAGAACTATCATTCAACTACAGTCTGCAAATCAGACATATTGCTATGATGCAGTTCGGTAAAATTCTTTGACAATTCGGTCAGATCAAACGCTACGCGGAAAATGTCTGATATTGTTTTTTTCGAGTTCAGGATAATCGTATCTATCGATTTGATGCGGTTTTGGCCGTATTGCTATGAGACAAAAATTTTGGTCGTGGGCTCTCGTACTATATGAAATGGTCGCTAGTTTTTCCTTAAAAGACCAATCTATTCTCGTGTATGTGCTTCAGTGTAGTTTCATAATAAAACCTTAATGATGTCTGCGACAAAGATTAAGATACGCCCTGTTTTGGTTCCATGTTATGAAAACGAAAAAACATAATAAAATATACGACTTTATTACGAATTTTGTTAATACATCACGATTTTATAAACAAACATCAGGTAAACTATAGTCAACGGTTGTATCACAGTCTTTAATTGAAACAACGCTTTTGTTATATTCTACGGACATTTCAAAAGCATCACGATCTTCTGTTAATTTGTCAAAAAAGTAACTTGTATTGACTTTACTTTGTCGCGAATTGTTTAGGCTATGTTTAAAATTAAAGCTGTTTCTTCTAATCGGGCTACCGTTTGGCGTAGAACAATTATTATGAATTTCATTCAATACACTTTTCCGCAACACTGATTTTCGAGGTGTTGAAAACTTATTGTGGAAAACAAGTCTTACCAAATTATTGTTTACTTTGGCAGTTTTAGCGTGTGATGTTCTAGAGACAATATTGTCTATGATATCGGATAAATCATTTTCATTGTCATCATCGTCTATAGTAGCGTCTAACATACTGAGCAGATGATTTTCTTTATCATCGCATTTTATGGGGTTCTTTTCACACTGAAATGAATCTGCTTTCAAAAATTCACGATACATGTCCTCGGGTGCGTCCTTAATTGACATATTTTTAAGACTACATCTCAACGAATTCACTGTACTTCCTATGGACTTTTTGCGTTTCTTGGCTATAAAACTCTCGATTGTCTTTTGTTTCTTCTTTGAGTTTGTCTTCAGTTTTCTTTTCAGTCTATTTACCGACACGCTCAAGTTGGCTTTGCTAGAGTTGAGATCACACGCTTTTGTCGATAAGTCGATATTTCTGAACGAACCGCTAAGATTGGCCACATCAGTATCGATAACTTTTTTAGTCTTTTTTGTGTATTTTCTCTTTGGTTTTTCGGGTTGATTGTCGTCTTTCTTCTTTTTTGCTCGTGTCTTCTTTTCTTTTGGTGGTTTCTTGATAGACTCTTCATATGCTTCTACGAGTTCTGGATAGTACTGGCGCATAAGGTCCTGCCTTTCTATTGTTGTCCATACTGACTGTGGGTCCGCATCCTCTGTAGCAATGAAAAGAGGACTTTCAATGTCATATTATTTATAGTTAATAATCAGTATAATCACATAACTCAATAGTAAATAAACTTAACTAAACTAAATAAACACTTACCATCAAACTGGTCATCTGGTATTATGCCTTCATACAGGCCATCTATATCCTCCCAAATAACTTCATAGCTGGGGACACCTGCAAGAAATTTTGTTCTTATTATTTTAGCATCTTCGATATAAGAAAGCTTTTTATCCGACTGCGCCAGAAGGAGGGTTATGTTTTTAGTATTCTTACCTCTAGGGTGTCTTTTCTTTTTTATAACCATAGGTTTAATTGTTCTGCGAGGTACATTTTCTTGAAGATGCCACTTGGTGAGCAAAGGTAGAAATTTTTCAACGCAATATTTCTCCGACCATTCTAGTTTGTTTGACATAAGTTTCTGCAAGGATAAAACAAACTTGTATTATAAATTATTTTTATTTTAATAGCACTGTATGTGTATTGAAATTACTACTACAAAGCATGGGCGATCTCTGCACAGAACTAATCCCAACAGTAACTCTTTTAGCCAGGGTCTACAGTTTTGCTCCAATGAAACCCAACCAGTAAAGGTTGAGACTACTCAACCAATGCCAAACTATACGAGGGGATAGCTGGCTGTTGGAAACTCGCAGTGATTTTAATGGGAAGAATGGTGTAGTTCAAAGTATAACATCAGGGGCCTCCTTATTGCTACAAAAACCTCTATTTAATACAAAAATCTTACCATAAATTGTATCAAACTAGGAGGCGTGGCCTTCGTGCGTTCAACGTCTATTTGTTCCGGGACATTGTTGAGGAACTCCTTCATAACCTTTGGTTCCGGGAACGGCATACCGCAGGAAACTGCGCGGGAGCGGAGCGATAACTCTCGCTTCACTTCTGCTACTTTTGCTCTGGTGATGGAAGAGTTAAATTAATTTAGGAAATCTATGTAAACATTGACTTATGGAGCGCGAGACTACTTTGTGGCAACCGTTTACTGACCGACTGATCTATCGAAACACAGCTTAAATCACTGAATCAATTGCGCTGTGAGGAGGATAAATGACGCTCAGAAAGCATTTTCCAAAATTTTATTGATCTTCTAAAGGGATGAATCAGGTGTCCAAAATCTACATTATTTATTATATGTGACTTCCCTTAGGCTTGAGATTCACGGTATACTTATTTACAGACGACGGCACTTCAAGCTAAAAACTGTGACCACATTATCATACAGAGCGGACGCCCAGCGGGACAGCTCCTCGTAGCACGCGGTCTCACTCAGGATATTAACCTTCATTAATTAAATAACACCATAACTTACTTATGTCCCAAGTCACTGCACCCCTTGTTGGTGCCACAAACGGGACAGCCATTCTTGAGGTGCGTGCGTCCCACGTGCCCGCAGCGGTCGCAGCGGCCCGGCGCGGACGCCCAGCGGGACAGCTCCTCGTAGCGGTCAGGGTCACTCACCCAGGATATTAACCTGTTGCAAAATTATCTTTTATTTAGGGCCCTCGCCCACGGCGTTTACGAAACGCGCGACAGCATCGCTACTAACGCGCGTTAGTCGCAACTCGCATTTGCAACGCACTACAGAAGTGATGCCAACGCGCTACTAACGCGCTACAGCAGCGCGACTGCATCGCTACAAAAAGTCGCCGTGGACGAGGACCATTAAATTTATTGAAATAAGCAATAAATTCCGAAGTATATTTTTTTTGTGTAAATAAGACTTACCTAGGAATAATGTCTGTTTCGTCGACAGTGTGAATAAATGCAACGGCAGTATTTATCGAGGATCCACATGCGCCTACGCCGTAGTCGCACCCACAGAGCATAGCTAGCGCCACCATTTTATTGCGGCCAAATCCTGAAACATGTGATATGATAGTTACTGATAGGTTTTTTACGATTAGCCAGTCAACATAATGGTGTGGACTGACACTTGCCTTTACCATAGTGTTGCCTACTCTGCCTAATGGTTAATCTAGCCCTGTAACTGTAACCTAGTCCTATAGTCCAAGGCCAATGTATCATCTAAAGGGAAATTCTCTTAAATGTAAAAGAATCCAGTGCCCAATCTCAAAAATATACCTATGGTTGATATTGGTTGATAGGATATTTGATTGTAAACTTACGGTTAGCCCTCAACATCTTGTCAGCGTCATAGCAGTCCACGGAACCTTGCATGGCGCCGCCGCCCGCCGCGCTAGACACGCTAAAGTTGCGGTACACGCGCCGCGCGCCATACGCGAAGCAATCCGAGTCTTGCGATATCACTGCGTCCACTAGCTGGAATGTTCATTTTATTTATTATAGCACATATGTATCAATATTATTTAATTAATCTGTATTTCCTTCTTTTGGGATCCCATTTAAACTTGGTAATATTTCTTTAGGCAAATAAAGATGTTATCTTGAAGAGAATTTAATTTTATGAATATTCTGACATCAATGTAAAAACTGTATTTCTATTCTATGTCAGTGAGAAATCAAGTTTAACATTAGGGGGCGTCCATAAATTACGTGAGACTTTTAGGGGGGGAGGGGGTCAACAAAAACCTCACTAAATCTCACGTGGGGGAGAGGGGGGGTCTCAGGAAATATCACGTAATTTTTTCCGCAAGAAATAGAGAAATAGAGTTTGCCAGAAAACTAGGTTTAAATCTTAAGTAAAAAAATTGGCCAAGTGCGTGTCGTGCCACGCGCAGTGTAGGGTTCCGTAGTTGTCCGTCGTTAATAAAATATATTTCAGAAGCAAGCAATTACTTCATCTAAAGTCGCTTTTAATATTTTCTTCTAAGGATTTTTTATTAGATATGAAATTTTATAATACATGAGTTAAATGACTATTACTCTTAAACTAACTGACCTACCCTAACCGTTATAGTTTTCTTGAAAGTTCATAAAAAGCTGTATTATTATGATTTTTTCCAGATTTTTCAAGCCAACAGTCTAGTTTTTAGAGGGACGCCCTGCTTGAGCAAAAATTGGCACTTTAAATTTTAATAGTTTGCAAACGGATCTCTAAATTGAAAAATTGTCTTTGAAACCCCCAAGTCATCCAACGATATCCTACACGATGGTGTACCTACGTAGAAGATGAAAAAAAAATTCATCCCCACTTTACATGTAGGGGTGCTACCCTAAAAAATGTTTTTTTTTAAATTTTATTGTACCGTTTTGTCGGCGTGGTTAATATACATACCTCCACAAAATTACAGCTCTCTAGTGCCAATATTTTGCAAGCAAAACCTCGGACAGACAGAAATATCGAAACTATAAGGGTTCCTTGTCAGGACTACGCGGGACCCTAAAAAATTATATTTTCTATGATGATAATGATATTTTATTCTATACCAATGTGAAGTGAAATCTGCATGTGTGAATACTAAAATGCAGAATAAATGACGAAATTAAGAAAGTTATAAAACAGGTTTTTTTTAATCAAAATAGACTAGGTACTTCTGTAAAAAAAAAACAATGAGACCCTAGTACTAACCGCTGTCACTTCACTACACGTGTTTTTCTGGATCTATTCGTAATCAGTGGGCTTAGTGCAACTTTATATCGATCGTTATCCGCTAGCGACTGCGTAAAAAATGACATGCATTAATTAATGTAGGAATGATGATTGTACAGCGTCCCTAGCAGATACTTTCAAGAACTGAAATCTTAAACTATATAGATCTTTTTGATGCACTCCTTAGCGATAACGGTAAATGCAAACTCGCACTAAGCACACAAAAAAAAACTTTCTCAGTTAAATTACTCCAAAACTATTAAATTTCGGATTTTTTAAAATATCACGTGAGATTAGGGGGTGGGGGAGGGGGTCAGGCAAAATCTCACCAAATCTCACCAAGGGGGGCGGGGGGGTTGAAAAATAGCCAAAATTATCTCACGTAATTTATGGACGCCCCCTTACTTTTGTGTACATTAAGAGATCTAGAGCAGGGTTTCCCAAACTGTTTTTAATTAATTGACAACACCCTCTGGAATTGTTGGGAACCCATGTTTTTGAAACATAATAAAACATTAAAATGTTTTTATCTATAAAAATGTAAGTAAAATACAAACACCTTGGGCATTCAGCTGGGCACAAGTAGCTTCAGCCTCTCCTCTTCCTTTTATACATTGTACACCCATGCATTTCAGCAGCGATTCACACTAAAAAAAAATTCCCTAAAGATTAATAAATTGAACTAGCAATAGCATTTATTCAGCCAGTATTTTACTGAAATAAAACAGGTTTATTCATACTTCTTTGAGAACATTTTTGAACCTTTTCCTTCCCACATCTGGCCGTTTATTTTTAACAGCAGCATCAGACCGAGGTGCTGCACCTCGGAACTGAATGGCATTCCGAGCGGCCATTACATCGCGTTTCAAGTCAGGAGCATCACCTTCAAGCACGAAAATCGGATTTATATCTGCTAATAACAGGTAGATTGTTCTGAAGAAAAGATTTCTGAAAATTAAACAAGTTTCATTAAAATCAACAATAAACACATTCCAGATGTAGTTTACTCTATTCATAAATTAATAGTTCTACTCTTTCATTTTGCTACGATGAAAATGGTGAAATGTTTACTTAAAATACAAATTTTAATTTACCTGAGGTATAATTTTGGTTGTACATAATAATCTGTAACATTTTGACTGTCGCATACCCATCCTGATAGATCTACTGCTATAGTTTCACCACGTATCTATAAATTAATAAGAGAATTAATTCATTTTCTCTAATGTTGTTAGAAAGCTGTTAGATTAGCTTTATTAATCTAAGGCTGTTAGGTTTAATTCCATTTAATAACCTCATGTAACGACTTCTTCTCACTGTAAGGTGTTAACACGGTCCACAATCCCTTAATACCCATATCCGTAGGCGTAAATTAATAGAATAAATTATCATTAATTAATATTTACAAACAAAAAATTCAAACCACCAATTTTCAAAAAACAACAAACAACTAAAACAAGGCTTTTCGAGCCCGCGGTATTTTGCGGTATACTATGGAAATATAATGACAGCTTGATTCTTATTGGTCAAAATAAATTCTTATCTATTTTTAATTGGAGAGTTTTATTTGCTTCCAAGGCCGAAGCCTCTTCACATTGGCTGCGTTCAGCCGATAATATTGTTAGAATTTGCTAGCAAAATGGCGATTGCCATCTTGCCATGGCAACCGCCGAAAACTTCAGCATGTTTTCGGCTAGGACACGATTGCTAAACTCCAAAAAAGTGACGTATCCAATACATTTTTTTTACGGTAACAGCACTTATCGCTAAAGGGACGCCATTTTACTTGCTATCGCTATTTTCCGCCAAACGCCCCCATTTGTTCAATATAACCATCGACGTAATATATCCTATGGACCGGGGTACCTCGGTACATTCACGATTTGGGAAAGGAACATGGCCGCAATATAATGTGAAACAACTGAAACAAGATGAAAAATGTTTGTGTTTGTGTGTGTATTTACCACCACCAGTGGGTCTAGACGATTTTTGAATCCGTCAAAACTCAAAACTCCATAAAAAAGGGCTTTCGACCATCTTTCAACTGGTGTGTGATTATAAAGTGAACTTTGTCTAGACCCACTGGTGGAAGTGGTGGATCAAAAAGTGCCACTTGGTATTGTCTAAGGGGGATTATATTGCGGCCATGCTGCTCCGTTCCCACAACGCTGCAACGTGTATGTACAGAGCCCCGATTACACGCTTCTCGATTCTGCGATACGATTGGTCGTTCAACAGCGTACGTCAGCTGTTTTGACCAATCGTATCGCAGAATCAGAAGCGCGTCTGGATTGGACACGTTAAAAATTACTGTAATCGGGGCTCTGAGCACGTTTATTATTTTATAGCTATGCCCGGTTCATAGTTTATACTTTATGTCTCTTACCCTCTCAAGTTAGTGTCAAAACTGTCAAACGTCATCGGTACATTTTTGTTGTTGTTGAGTTTGTTTACAAGTTTATTGAACAAGTTGAGAAGTTGTTTTGTTCACATTCATGATTATTTTTGAAGTAAGATGATAACAAGATACATTAATGTTACATTCCATTGTTTAGGTTACATAACGTGTTGAACACACATAATTTATATTGGAAAATTGGAGAGCTTACTTCTACAAACGAAGCTAATTTCCAAATATAATTAACTTGTTAAGTAAATGACCTTCGGAAGATTATTTAAATAGTGATAGCAGCGTTTTGACGACAGTTTATCGAACCGTACCCACCTCCATAATCAGTAAATAGCTCGTCACTGAGGCTCGGGCCTCTGTAACGTACGTAATTATCTGTAGCCCACACGAACTGTGATAACGATAAAACTGATTGCGCTTTGATATAATTACTCTTTACTACCAAATCTGGGCCTATTATCATCATGTCTTACATAAAGCAGATGAATCGAATTTGGTGAGTAGTTTTACATGTTTTCTACTTGTTTTATAGCATGCCATGCCTTATTATTATGTAGATCATATTTAAATTATATTCACAAGCTCTTAACCATTGTGTTTAAAAGGTCTAAGATCATTAGCATAAAATCCCTTTACTAATAAAAAGAACTTTAAACCTTGGTATTAAGTCAGTTTTCTCAAAAAAAAATATCATTAATGTTTCATCATTTTTTAGTCAGTGAACTGTTTATTTAAGTGCAAGACACGATATCTTAGACATTTATCAGTTACTTAAACCAACATCTTAATTTAACTTAATTTTGTTACAGCCAAACTTTAAACCTCAAATACTCAGCAAGGTTCAATCATGCACGGGTACTTAAAGATGACATTCAAAGGCAGCAGATCAATAAAGTGCTCATCGCAAACCGCGGTGAGATCGCTTGCAGGGTTATGCATACTTCGAAGAAGTTGGGCATTCGGACCGTAGCCGTGTACTCGGATGCCGATAAACATGCAATGCATGTTGAAATGGTGATTTTTAATTCTTATAATCATTGTTATCTTTTAAAAACTTGCATCATGCTATTTATCTATGTTCTAGCTACACTCTTTCATCTATCTTTTACATTGGCTAGCAGCCAGTCCTACCTATTTGCATTTTAATTTTATTATCATAATATTTCTACATTATACATATCATTTTCATGTTCTTTATGTTTAGGCTGATGAAGCATATCACATTGGGCCAGCAGCTTCAACACAAAGTTATCTGAATGCAGCAAAAATACTTGAAGTGGCAAAGAAATCCAACAGTCAAGCCATTCATCCCGGCTACGGTTTCCTCTCTGAAAATGTGGAGTTCTGCGAAAAGTGTTCTGATGAAGGAGTCATATTTATTGGTCCCCCACCTAAAGCTATCAGAGATATGGGTATCAAGAGGTGAGCTCAACTTTTACTTAGGCATGCCACTACAACTTTTAGGTTTAAAACCATTATTAGATAAGCCATCTGATCCTTCAAATGTGTATAGGTTGATTTTAGCAAACAACACTGAAGTATTAGTATTTCCACAGAGTCAAGTGTTAAAAAAATCCAACATAATATAAATATAATTCATGATAAATGAGTCCTAGTCAGTCCCTCAATATTGTGGAACTCTTTTCTATCTTCTTATTTAAAATCATTTTATGAATGAAAGATAGAGCTGTTTCATCTTCAAGATAGGTATTTGCCAATGTTAGTGATTAACACCACTGTCTTATTTTATTTTCAGTACATCAAAACATATCATGTCAAGTGCTGGGGTGCCCATTGTAAAAGGTTACCATGGAGAGGAACAGAGCATTGAAAAACTACAGGCTGAAGCTCAGAGGATTGGGTTCCCACTGATGATCAAGGCAGTCAGAGGAGGAGGTGGTAAGGTATGAAACTAAAATGGCTATAGGGATAGGAAATAAAAATTTTGCGACGATGAAAATGGCGATTACTGTCGTCTTTTTTTTTCAATCGCATCCTTTTCTGGTGTGTACCTACTAAAACTTTGAAAGAAAAGAGTATTTTGAACTTTGATAGTGAGGAATTACACTTATAAAATAACATCTAAATTATTGACGCTTAAGCTGTGCTCAAATTGAAAGTAATCTTATCCATCACTAAGAATGTATAAGAGAAAGACAAAATATTATTTCATCATCAATTCTTTTTTTTTTTGTAAAAAATATGCTTATTTCAGGGTATGAGAATCGCCATGACGGAAGCAGATTTCTTGCCACAACTGGAGTCCGCCAAGAGAGAATCGCTGAAATCTTTTGGAGATGACAACATGTTACTTGAACAGTACATCACAGATCCTAGGCATGTGGAAGTGCAGGTACATAAGTGCTAAAATAATATAAAACCAGAATATAATTATTGGCTGCCAAAGTCCTTTTGCGCCGGAAAGAGCGACATGTTTTCGACTCACATTATTTGCACTTTCGTGTCTGTTTATTAAAAACTATAGAAGTTAAAACTATTTTAGCATACAAGTGCTAAAACATTGTTTTAAAGTTAAGTGACCTTGTCACAAACTTCGATGTTTTCTCAGTTTTGATGTTGGTATCCAATATTTTCAGGTGTTCGCTGACAAGCACGGCAATGTAGTCCATTTGTTTGAGAGAGACTGTTCTGTTCAGAGAAGGCATCAGAAAATCATAGAAGAAGCACCTGCGGTATGTATCCCTATGTTTTTATTGAACGCGAAACAAAGATTAAAGCTAAATGGTGATTTGAAAAATAAAATTATGAGATGATATGATTATGTCATGGCACGTGGCGCCGATTATGCCTATTAAAAAAAAAGTAACTGAAAAAAGTCTAGTCTCAGTAAATAATAATGGACAATGAGAGACATCGGCGCTACTGTAGAGTAAGATCCTGTCACTCCCTACTGGCTTAGACAATGGCATCCACTAGTGAGCGCTGAAGCGAGTGAGAACGAGTGGCGCCACTGTAAAGTCCTGTCACTTGCTTAGTGCCTAGTGGCTGGATTAGACAGTGGCGCCAACGTGAGCACTGAAGTGCCACTGTAAAGTCTTATCACTCGCCAGTATCAGTAGCGTCAACTGGTGAGCGTTCCCGTCCTTTTTCCGTCGGGAAAACCATGAACATGCATTCCCATTAAAACCCGATGGTATCCTTCTATAGTCCGGTCCCTGAGCACGTAGAATTTTGTCCAATGACCTCAAGCTACCCATCCTTATCGCTCGCGCAATATAATTTATTGCTGTTGCGCTCGCACACTCACTGCTGCCGCCCGTCGCAAAGTTGCGACAGCAATATAATTACGCGCGAGCGATAAGGATAGGTAGCTTGGGCTCGCACACTCACTGCTGCCGCCCGTCGCACAGTTGCGACAGCAATATAATTACACGCGAGCGATAAGGATAGGTAGCTTGGGATCATTGGACAAAATTCTACGTGCTCCGCGACCAGACATTACCACAATTTCCCCTCCTTTTCTAATTCAACCTATGTTTTCCCCTAGCCCGGTCTCAGCGAAGAGACCCGTCGGTCTCTGGGCGAGGCGGCGGTGCGAGCAGCTAGGGCTGTGGGCTACGTAGGCGCAGGCACCGTGGAGTTCATCCTGCATAGACAGACGCACGAGTTCCACTTTATGGAGATGAACACTCGGCTGCAAGTCGAACATCCTATCACTGAGATGATTACTGGTAAGAGTTTATTTATGTGTTTCTTTTCTCCCCGGCTTCGCTCGGTTTAAACTTTAGAACTAATTATTCATCCTCTTAGGCGTGAATTTGGTCAATCCTTTCTCAGCGGATGCCTATGTTATGATAGCAACTTGCCTTTGAACGCAATCCGTTCAGTGGTTTGAGCAGCTAGTTATTAGATAAGTTAGTAGTCCGTATCGGTTGCCCCTAAACAGATTATAAAACAAACCCTATAAAACTTGATTGATTTACCTTTGTTTGCTAAAAAGTAAGGGGTCATCCATAAAGTACGTCACACGTAAAGAGGGGGGGAGGGGGTTGACAAAGTGTGACATGGTGTGACAAGGGGTGGGAGGGGTCCTAAGTTTCGTGACATCACATTTCAATTGTTTCAAATATTTGATATTTTAATGTTGATTTCATAAAAAAAGTACTTAATTTAAATGGAAATAAAACTAATTTCGGAACTGCTGTTAATTTAATAATTTTTCGATGTGAAATTGCAAAACATGTGACGTCACACTAGGGAGGGGGGGGGTCTCAGAAATGTGACCACCTGTGACAAGGACGGAGGGGGGGTCAAAAAATCATGAAATTCGTGTGACGTACTTTATGGATGGCCCCTAAGCGTTCTTACGCGACCCGTTAAACGACGGGGTCGCGGCTAACGGGGTCGATGAAACAATTTTTTCCGACTGTCCAGCTAAAACGAGGCGGGACGACCTGGATGGATGGTACTTACTCGTCGGTTGCGTAAAGGAGAAAATCAGGCCTAAGCAATATTGCTAGTACATTTAATATGTATAACCATTGTCACTATTAACAGGTACGGACTTAGTAGAGTGGCAACTAAGAGTAGCAGCCGGTGAGCCGTTACCTCTAACCCAAGAGGAGATCATCCGCCGCGGACATGCAGTGGAGTGTCGTATCTACGCGGAGGAACCAGGTGCAGGGTTCCTACCTCGCGCGGGCACTTTGCATCGCCTCACGCAGCCTACCAAGGAGCAACATGTTAGGGTGAGTTCAATTTCAATCCGAAGTGTTTGAGTTATTTTGTATCAGGTTTATTTTCCAATTTTGGGAAAACAAACATAGACAATGTTCTATCATGTAATGTCATAGATCGCGCGGCCTGTCATTGGCCTACGATCGCGTCGGCGATGGCGATCTGCACGCGTTGGTGTGGCTGAAGCTTTAGATAGACACTGAACTTAAGACTCCCCGCGGACTACGGATTTTTAGTCGGCCGATTGTTGCGCCCGATTCTAATTTGTATGAAAAATCAGCCGACGTAATGTGCGCACTTTCATACAATGTCCTACTTATTAACAGCTCGAACCAACTATCGGCCACAAAAAGTCGGTGGTCTGCGCCTAGCCTAAAAGTCGAATTTTTTCTCCAAAAACAAAACAGAGTGTACTTTACATTTAAAATAATTTCTTTTTGTTTTCTCTTGCACTTTATTTTTTTTCCAAAAACAAAACACAACTTAATTTATAGTTTCCTTTTTCGAATTTTAAACACATTCGTTTGCTTTTTCAGGTAGAAACCGGCGTCCGTGAAGGCCAGGAAGTATCAGTGCATTACGACCCAATGATCGCAAAGCTGGTGGTGTGGGGCCGCGACCGCAATGAGGCGCTGGCCAAGACCAGGGCCAAGCTCTCGGAATACAAAGTAAGTAAATAGAATCTAGACACGCGAGAGAGTGGCAAGCCAAGTTCTAGTGAAGAGACGCACTGTATGTATTACACAAACCACATGGTTGGCTTTTGAACCCCTCATAAGATTTGCACGCTCTCTAGTGGCTGTAGTACAAATACTTACTTTTTATGCCTAATTTAAAAAATGTCTGATACTGTCAATTTTAAATCATGTTTGAAATAATTATTATTGTTCATACATCGCCTTCCTCTTTTATTATAAACAACTATCCTCTCTCTGGGTTGTCCGGGACAAATCTCTTCCAAGAGATAGGGCTTAAATGGTGCCGTTTAGGTTTTCTATTTTATTTGTCTGTTTAGACACTGTTCTGTTTTAAAGAATATGTATCGATTTATCTATCCACAATTTCACTTTCGCTTCCAGGTAGCCGGTCTAGAAACCAACGTGAACTTCCTACTACGCCTGAGCGGCGCCAAAGCGTTCGTAGAGGGTGACGTCCACACCGCCTTCATACCACAGCATGAAGCGGAGCTGTTCCCACTGACTAGTGAACCCGCTGTGGAAGAAAAAGCCATCCAAGCTGCTCTTGGTTTTGTAAGTAAACTGTATTTTGTATTGTTAAGAAATGCTAACTAAAAATTCACACACTCAAAGTAATCAAAATATAATACGCACGCACTACGCAAACAATGTAAACTGTTTACATTATGACGTCGCTGCTGTCATCATTGCTCTCACGAGCAATGTGTTCTGTTTTTGGGCATATTGCTGCGACACCGGCCCCGCCCCCTTGTCACATCTCCCTTTAGTTTCTGTGATCTGTGGTTTTAAGACAGTGGATATGAGCTCTTAGCTTGCATTTCGTCTGATAGAAAGTGTGGAATAATTATTTTTAATTAAACTTAGTTTTATTTTATCAAACAAATAAAACAATAGAAACGCGCACACCGTGACAATAGACCGGAGAGAATAGAGATGTGCATAGACAACACAAAACGAAATGCGTCATTCTTCATCAATCAATGAATAATTTACACATTTATTTATTTTGTTGGTGGAATATTATGTTCGCCTTTTATTTGCACCTTTACTGGTGGCGGTGGCTTTCGCAAGTAAATCCGATCCCATATGTTTGTCTCGAAGCGCTGGTAGAGCCCAAAAGATAAGGAGACATGTAAAATGGGGCACCTTTTTTTGACGTTCATATAAGTGCCAAAATATTGGTCTAAACGGAATAAAATATTTTTGATTAGAAGCTCGATCTGTACCTATTTGTATTACTTAAAGATGTTGAACTTACTGAATTATGTCTAATGTAACATGGTTTTCTTTTCCCAGATTTTAAACGCCCAAAGACAACAAGCAGTAAATGACAGTTGGAAGGGAATCTCCGTAGAACCAGCCGGCTGGAGGCCCAACTACCAGCTCAAAAAAACGATTCCACTCAGGTTTGACGAAAAAGGTAACTGCGGTATTTGTTACTTTTATGTTGTTAATGATAATCATCATACAGCCACTATTTGACTTGGATTACAAAGTTGGCTTTATTTGTGAGTTCACTTCCCCACCGTGAAATGTCAGTTTGAAGACAAAGCATTGTTTTTATAAAAAACAAATGACTACCATACTATACTAGGACTCGTATCACATTCTGCAGCATAGGCCCGGTTTCCACCAAGGCGCAGCGGAGTGGAGAAATGTTTTGAACAACCAATCAGATTTCATTATTTTCAATTCTCCTCTCCGCTCTGACCGCGCCGCCGCCGCTATCAAATTCGATAGAAAAATTTGACGCCCGACATTTCTCCGCTCCGCTGCGCCTTGGTGGAAACCGGGCCTTAGGTGTAAAATCGTAACAATCACACATAACTCTTGTCCGCGGCTTCACCCGCGTGATATTCAGTTTGTCACAGATCGGCATAAATTATAGTATTATATATTATTCTGGGTTATAAACAATAATACTGTGAAGTTTCAACAAAATCCGTTCAGTAGTTTTTGCGTGAAAGATTAACAAACATCTAGACATCCAAACTTGTGCATTTATAATATTAGTAGGATGCATTATCTTAATCCACAGACTTGAAAGTGACAGTAGAATACGGCAGCGCCCCCAACACCTACAAAGTTCAAGTGAACGACGGCGAGTGGAAGCAAGTCGAGGCGTCTCTGAGCAACAACGAACAAGGGCTGCAGCTCTACACGCTACTCGGAGACAAGACCACCAAAGTCGGCTTGCTGACGTTTGAGAACGAAGTACACATGTATGACGAGGTAAGAAAACAAAAAAAGCTATACAGGGTGGAAACGTTAAGTGATCTCACTCGATTATTTCTAAACTATACAAGATATCGAAAAACTGATTACTGATTCTGAAAGTGCTTCACAAGCTCTTTTAAACGGTACCAATAATAGGTTACAGAATAAACTGGATCTATCCGAAAATTAATTTTTTCCAGCTTCCATACATTTAGTAAAACCACATAATATTAAAAACTATACAAGACATTCAAAAACTGGTTACTGATCCTGAAAGTGCTTCACGAGCTCTATCCAACGGTACTAATAATAGGTTACAAAATAAACTGGATCCATTCGAAAATTCAATGTTTCTAGCTTCCATACATTTAGTACAGCCACAGTCATGGCACTCATGTCTTGTTAATATTATAGCAAGTAAAGCCTAAAACCAATGTTTTCCAAGAATAATTTTAAATAAGAATGCAATTTACGAGTTCATTTTAAGTGTTTATTATTTAATAAAAAAAATTTATACTTCTATTATTGTTTGGCTGGCATACATTTAGTATGGAGGCTGAAAACATTAAATTTTCGGATAGATCCAGTTAATTCTGTAACCTAATATTGGTACCGTTGGTTAGAGCTCGTGAAGCACTTTCAGGATCAGTAACCTGTTTTTCGATATCTTGTATAGTTAAGAAATAATCGAATGAGATCACTTATCGTTTCCACCCTGTATAGTCCTAGTGAACGAAGGTGACTGGAAGCAAGTCGAGGCGTGTCTGAGCAACAACGAACAAGGGCTGCAGCTCTACACGCTACTCGGAGACAAGACCACCAAAGTCGGCTTGCTGACGTTTGAGAACGAAGTACACATCTATGACGAGGTAAGAAAACAAAAAAAGCTATAGAGTCCTAGTGAACGAAGGTGACTGGAAGCAAGTCGAGGCGTCTCTGAGCAACAACGAACAAGGGCTGCAGCTCTACACGCTACTCGGAGACAAGACCACCAAAGTCGGCTTGCTGACCTTTGAGAACGAAGTACACATCTATGACGAGGTAAGAATACAACAGCTACTGACTTCCAAGTAAATGACGGCAAGTGGAAGCAAGTCGAGGCGTCTCTGAGCAACAACAAACTTAGTTTCAACCTATATCCAATAAGCACAGGCAAAAAAAGACGACTATTGTCAGTTGTACGATTATACGCGTCATAAAATCTTCGAGTGGTTTTTAATTTGTATTACTTAAGGTTTTCCCTCTCAACTTCTAAACTACTGATCCAATTCACTCCTATTCTTCCAATTGATGGCGATAAACTCGTTATTTCTCTAATTTTATTTCCAGAACGGCCAGACAGTTCTCAAAGTGCCGCTGCCCAAGTACCAAGCCGCCGGCGGCGCCGACGCAGCCGCTTCTGCTGACAGCGCGAGCTCACCCACGCCTGGCATTCTGGAACGAGTCATGGTGCAAAAGGGAGACAAGGTACTTAAATACATATTATACATAGTCACTATCATCATCAGTCTACTTTAATCCACATTGAAACTGCCCACATTATCTGGACGGCACGGCAAGGGATTTTTGGTGAGCAATAATACCGCTGCCCAAGTACCAGGCCGCCTCTGCTGACAGCGCGAGCTCGCTCATATCTGGTATCCTCGAGCGAGTCATGGTGCAGAAGGGAGACAAGGTACTGATTAAAGACCCTATCATCATCATCAGCCTACTTTAATCCACGTTGGGTCTGACCACATTATCTGGACGGCACGGCAAGGGATTTTTGGTGAGCAATAATACCGCTGCCCAAGTACCAGGCCGCCTCTGCTGATAGCGCGACCTCGCCCACGCCCGGTATCCTCGAGCGAGTCATGGTGCAGAAGGGAGACAAGGTACTGATTAAAGACCCTATCATCATCATCAGCCTACTTTGATCCACTTTGGGACTGCCCACATATCTGGACGGTACGGCAAGGGATTTTTGGTGAGCAATAATACCGCTGCCCAAGTACCAGGCCGCCTCTGCTGATAGCGCGAGCTCGCCCACGCCCGGTATCCTCGAGCGAACCATGGTGCAGAAGGGAGACAAGGTACTGATTAAAGACCCTATCATCATCATCAGCCTACTTTAATCCACGTTGAAACTGCCCACATTATCTGGACGGCACGGCAAGGGATTGGTGAGCAATAATACCGCTGAACAAAGTATCAGGCTGCCTCTGCTGATAGCGCGAGCTCGCCCACGCCTGGTGGAGCGAGTCATGGTGCAGAAGGGAGACAAGGTACGCCTAATAAAGTCCCTATAGATCATCAGTCTACTTTGATCCACTTTGGGACTGCCCACATTATCTGGACGGCACGGCAAGGGATTTTTGGTGAGCAATAATACCGCTGCCCAAGTACCAGGCCGCCTCTGCTGACAGCGCGAGCTCGCCCACGCCCGGTATCCTCGAGCGAATCATGGTGCAGAAGGGAGACAAGGTACTGATTAAAGACCCTATCATCATCATCAGCCTACTTTAATCCACGTTGAAACTGCCCACATTATCTGGACGGCACGGCAAGGGATTTTTGGTGAGCAATAATACCGCTGCCCAAGTACCAGGCCGCCTCTGCTGATAGCGTGAGCTCGCCCACGCCTGGTATCCTCGAGCGAGTCATGGTGCAGAAGGGAGACAAGGTACTGAAGGGAGACAAGGTACTGATTAAAGACCCTATCATCATCATCCGCCTACTTTGATCCACTTTGGGACTGCCCACATATCGGGACGGCACAGCAAGGGATTGGTGAGCAATAATACCGCTGCCCAAGTATCAGGCCGCCTCTGTTGATAGCGCTAGCTCGACCACGCCTGGTATACTCGAGCGAATCATGGTGCAGAAGGGAGACAAGGTACGTCTAAGTAAAGTCCCTATCACCATCAATTTTCCTCAATCCATTTTATCTTATCTTAAAGGTACAAGTTCGTAGCTGACTTCACGCAACAGTGGCAGACGACGTGTCGCGACACCACTGGTTACTATGTATTTCTATGAAATACCACCCGTTGTAAGCGACACGTCGTATGACGGTATTTCATAGAAACCTGTGTGTCGCGGCGACACGTCGTCTGCTGCTGCTGCGTAGAGTTGTCTACGAACTTGTAACTTAAAGGTTACATAAACCTTTGTTTGTCAATGTCATCCATCAGCTTTGCACTGGGGGAGGCGATCCTTAACTTCGAACTCCTATGTTCTGATTAATTTCGTTGTGAGTCCAATTACAGTTTAGCTTTCACCCGGGGCGAATTTGACCTAAATTCGCTGGGTTTTTTATTGGCGATCAAGCTGTAGATTCTGGCTACGCAGGAGTTGCAGCCACTGGGAATAGTCCCATTCCTTAATCCACTCACAACAATCCAGTTTGAGTTTGAATGGTGGGGTTTTTATCCCAATCCCGTGTCATGCAATATAACTCATTTATAGGTACTTATTTTTACTACACTCCCTGTAACAATGTCTCATCATACTTGTTTTCTTTACAGGTAGTGAAAGGTCAGCCTCTATTCGTAGTAATAGCGATGAAGATGGAATACGTAGTTCGTTCGCCGCGAGATGGCGTGGTCTCCGGGCTTGCGTCGGTCAAACTCGGCGATCCGGTCGGCAAAGGCGCACAAATTGTTACGCTAGAAGGAGAAAATTGAACAGAAATATCCAAACAATCCAAAGTAATAGTCAAAGCATTTAATTAGAGTATATAAGACTTAATGGTTCACATTCCTTTAGTTAATTGACAAGCGACATCGACTTCTACCAAAATTTTAATATCTAGCTGTCCTTGTCGCTCATATCAGCATTTCGCTACGACAGAGAAGGATTTAAAAATCCAAAAATATGAAACCGCTGTCAAAGAGTACCCTAGTTGGTGTATTCTAACCGAAGTCATCGTTTTAATTTAGTATGTAAGTTTAAACTATTTAGATCAAAGATGTACAAAATGAATTCTTTAAGAATATCTGAATTTATTCTAAGTCTTCCAAAAACTATGTTCATTTTAGTAATGATAGTAATTGTGTTATTGACTTGCCATCAATATGTGCCTTTAAATAAATATTTTAATTTTTATAATACATATTAGATCAGAAAGCACACGGGTGAAATTATGTGATAATGTTAAATAATATTGTTGTTATATTTTTGTAAAAATTTTAATATACATATTTGTTATTAAGATACCATGCGTTTTTATAAAAAGTTTAACCTAATTACAAAGTACAGTGTGATAGATATTATTACTCATTGACTATGACAAAATTTATAAATATCCAAATGAATGCAAACAAAATTATAAATTATTTACACTGTTCCTAAATCCGTAAAAACATAAAACAGTAACGGCTTTCTTTACATATCGTGAAATTAAAAGTACAGTCACGGAATGAAAAGGTTCGTCAGTTTTCAAATTGATTCCTTCAACGAATCGCGAGCACATATTACCTTTTGAAACTATGTTACAGAATAATCTCGAGTTAGAGAAAATAATCTTTAACTGTTCGTCAGTAAAGTTCAAAATTATTCAGATCAAAGTTGTTTGACGATTAATCTTGTCAAGAAGATTATTATGATTGATAAACTAAAACCTTCTTGTTGGTTCAACCTGCCATTATCTATTAAATTAAAAAAACTACATTTTGTAACATTGCACTGATGGGATAGAAAAATAAACAAGCAAAACCTTATTCGTAAGCAAACGTCATATTTATTTAAATGTTAGCAGCACTGTTTCTTGCACTGTTATGTTGGCAGGTTTGACTCTTACAGTACCTAATGCAAGCGAAAACCGACACTAAGGTGACGAACCTTTTCATTCCGCGACTGTACATACGTAGCTCAGCTTTGTGACGACAATACCGATTAGACCACATTCATTAAGTGACGTCATCACGACGTGCCATATTGTTTCTTCGAGGACCTCGGGCAATAAACTAATAAACAAATTAGTTAATCATTTCCTTGAATTTTTAAGGACAAAAGATACTTATTACTTATTAAATTAGTACCTGGAAAATATTATTAATGACTCCAAATTACAATTTCACTAATGATGGTTACTGTCTTTTGAAGTCACTTAATTGTATTCAAACACGTGTTGAAAATTATGGCCCAGTGCCAAAACTGGACAAAGAAATTTATTTCTTCAACCTTTACACAAAGACAATGGGAAGTAAGATTTACCTAAGTAAATGTTTTTATGACGAATGATGATAAACGATTACTTCTTGTTATACGCAAATACTTTGTTTGTTCGCTGTTTATTCAATTTAATTTGATAAAAAAATAAAAAATATGAATATGTGTTATCTATGTTTTTAACAACACATTCTCAAACCACCATTACTTACATGCTACACAACTTCTAATTTTTCATAACAGCTTTAGTCGATTTTCATGAATGATCACTTAAATCGGCTGATGCCTGAACTCGCATAAATATAATAAATAAATAATTATGTATGTTATAATATTTTTCTGATAGACTAAGTATTACGTAATTTGTAAAACAACTAAGAACTTGGCGGCGCACTGTGGCAGACGAGGCGAAGAAGATCGGCAAGACTTGGAGCGAGATCAAACACATAGCTCAAGACCGAACGCGATGGAGGACTGTTGTGGACGCCCTCTGCCCCATCTAGGGGACATAGGACCATAAGTCAAGTAAGTCAAAACTAAGAACAAATAACGTTGATTGTACTTTTTGTTGCAAATTATTCATAAAACCTACAAAATACTCGTACAACTTCCTAAGATCCCAAAGTACTTTGCTTGAATGCTGGCGTCGGTATACGTAGGTATTTACAACCGTTTTCTAAGGACAAGGCGTGACGAGGTCAATAAGAAAGCGGCCGTATTCGGCGGAAGTAGCACTGCAGGAGGTACGCACATTCTCCTTTCATCAACTGCCTTGTAGATAACCATGATGATAACGCTCACCTTGGCACGTTTGTGAAAGTAAACTTCGCATTGGTAGCCATTTGCTGCGTAGATTGTGTAAATTTACGCAATCTTGACACCGACACGACGCGCGCACAATGTTATTGACTATTTCGCTACTACTAGCATCAGGGGGCGTAGCTCAGATGGTAGAGCGCTCGCTTAGCATGCGAGAGGTACCGGGATCGATACCCGGCGCCTCCAATCTTTTTGGTTCTTTTTTTTTGTTAAATAATATGCTTCTTTTTTATTAAATAATATAAAAATAAATACCTATTCTTGCTATAATTTTTAATCCTTGTCATATATAGTAAGTGTAGTAAACTTGGTGATTTGTCCCTACATACGTAGGTAAGTAAGTAATGAACTAATGAATAAGTACGACTTAAATATTTTTTATCTTTTGGACTGACTGACTTCTAAACTAATAATAATTCAACCACAATAGAAAAATTGGAAAAACAAAAAATTCCCAGTATTTTACGAATTTTATGGTTTGTTATTGTGGTTTTGAAATTGTTTAGTCTGCAGCCGCAGAGACTTGTTATCGAAAATAATCGTGGTTTGCTAGCTTTATCTCGTTAAAGATACGTCCATGCACACGTTACCTATTTATATCAAGGCCCTTTGTGGTATGTGCAGGGAAAACACTACATAATTTCATATTATTTTTAACCTCACACGCTTGCTATCTTCCTTTTCGCTGCTCTTTAATGGTTTTGATTTATAGCGATACGTAGCAAGAGCAAGTCGAAAGTGTTCGCGGTAGCTTTGCCTACCTTGGGGAAGTTACACTATGCGGGAAATTGATCGAGACCTATAATGTAAACACGCACTTCAGTTAATTTCGCCGTGGATCGCCCATACTTCGGTGCGCGTGCTCGCGCTTCAGTTCGATCAATTTCCCGGCTTTCCCGCATGTAACTGCGCCATTACAAAGAGATGATTTTCCAAGAAACTCAACGCGCTGTGGCTGGTCGAATAGACTGCGTCATAATAGTGCAGTGTTGGGAAAAACAAGAATATTTAAAAATAGCTTGAACGAACTAACTTTATTCCGGATATTGTAACAAATAATGCTTCGTCATCGAATTAAAAACTGTGCTTTTAAAGGCTTATTAGCAGACCCTAAATGAATTTTACGTTTCGCAACTTCTGACGTCACTGTTCGTAAGGGTAGTAGTACCTAATTAGATACCAATTAGGATATTTTAACAATTTCGTAGATATGTAGTAAAACAATATTTTTACAAAGCATCTTCGTAACTATTATATCTATTGATTGTCATTCGCCACGATTGAAGCATTGAAGCAACCACCATGTATCTTTTAATTGTTAGATATTACAATTTACAGTGCACTATATTTTTTTTATTAGTTTACTGTGTACATTCATTTACCCTTATTATTATACATATTTTAAATTATACCTACATTTCAAACCTATCAATTACTCACAAACACAATGTAATGCGTCAGTTCTAAAACTTATGCGAAGTACGAGTACTCATATGAAGTAGGTACGAGTACTTAGATAGTAATTAGATAGTACCTATCATTTAAAGGACAATAGAGGAAAGCCGTAGACAATTTTACATTTGACCGCAACATTCGCATTGGGAGGATAATTGCCCTATTGTCATTTGCCCAGGCCCACCAGGAAATGACCGCGTAATAAACGAGGAAAAGGATGATAATGATGACCTGAGGAAGAATCATGCGCAAACAGTGTTATTAAATAAACTAGGAGTGCGAATCGACTAACTGGAATTACTTACTAGAGGTTAATTTAGTTTACCTGCTGCCTTTTTCCTGGTCAATCATAATTAATATAGGCACAATAAATATGAACGTTAAAAGAAATAAAAAGGTAAGAAATAAATTGCTTTATACCTACCAAAGTTTTCGAGTTTTAGTGATCTTTTGAAAGGCGACGCAGGAGGCATTTACAATGAAACCATTTCACCAGAAATATGTTCATTTACAAGTGCAATCCGTTTTAAGAGACCTTCGTTGGTCTTGAGGCCATTGTATTGATTTCTTTGAAAGCATTCTTTTTCCTGTTACTGGAAAAAGAAAGACAAACCGCCCTTCAAACGATATTAGATTTTATGGGCACCTTTGTTATTCGGATACAAATCTGAACTGTCCTTCCGACTGCAATGGTTTTTATTTTTTGTCCCTCCAGACGATTGAAGCATTGTAGTCTCTACGAGGGTGGTGTAAAGATGAAAATTGATGAAAGTTTTCAACAACAATATTGGTTGTCTTTTGTTACCTGGTGGAGGGACTGCGCCGGCGCAGGATTTGTTGACGTTTTTTGTTCACATTCCGGCAACAGCTGATCGGCACAACAAACCCACGTGACCGGTTGTGCCGGTTCCCATTGGCTCAACTCACCCCAAATTTAAATTTTTCGGCCGGCATTTTACAAGAATAATGTCCAGGTACATAAAACCTTCCAAGAGGGGTACTTTGTAGGCAATTTTGTAAATGCATTCTGCTGCAGTTATCGACTAATAATTTTGGGCCTTTATCCTGCTTTGTCTCTAGTAGGTAATATTTTGTCCAATTTTAGAATATCACATGTCGAGCGACATGTTTCCCTATTTCATGCGATACTCGTACCTTATACCTACTTCTGCATGCTGCAAAACTAATAGCAATTTTTTTACAGCCAGCCGCCCACCCTACACTCCCACACCAAGTGTTTGGCAATTAGGCACAAAACGTCTTTGACAAAAAATATACATGCTGTCCCAAAAATCGCGTCAAACGAAACTCGAGAGGTGCGCCCAATCAACTTTTTTTTTAGTGTACACTTTTTTTCGTTTTGTATACTTTTTGCCACCTACCTCTACATACAAGGCATTATGGTAACAAAATGAATTGAAGAAATCGGTTTGCATACTTGGGGTTGGTTTGGATATCCCTTAGGGTGCTCTATCTCTGAACTTCCGCTCGGTACTATTTTTGGAATATCCTGTATATTTTTCTAAGTGTTAGGTGAATTATTGCTCATCCCATTAACTCTGTTAATGACATAGTTATCCTGTGCCATAAAAACTCATTGACCAAATTATTTGAATGTATCTAACGCCCTATTCATTATCCTTAGTAACTATGCTATTAATTTTTGACTATATTCTGCGCTAAACTCAGAGGCGGCTCTGGCCCATGTAGCGCGTGCAATCAATAC